TGTATATGTATTGTTCAAAAAATAGGGATCAAAAAATCGTATATAACATTTTTGTTGTTTTCAAAAAGAATCAGCCAATATGTGCAATAATATAAATAAATAATATTCCCAGTATTATGTTGATTTAAAAACATTATATACGTTTCACAATAACTTGTTTTTTAAAAAACTTGTATGTTTGTGTTATAAACATTTCCGATAAATTGCGGATTTACCACTATCATATCTTAATAGGTTGTTCTGAAATGGTTAGATCGTATGCAAATACTGGCCATAGATCAGTATTTGTAAAGATGCTCATTGTAATTAGCGAAAAATAATTTTTTTTTTTTCAAAAGCAAACTCAAGTCTGTCGGGTTTATCGCGATTTAATTGTGTGAAAGCCATTCTGCTGGAGGTATTGTTTGAAGTTCTTTATCATTATCGTAAGTTCTTTTCCATAAAACTAGTAACGCGTGAACGATGTGTATTTTTTTGACCGTGCATAACGATCCATGCAAATTTCACTTATTATTAATTATCCATCTAGATTTGAACGCATCTCTTCTAAAAATCGTAATGTTGTGTTTAAAAGAACAAGCAACAACATTGGTTAAATATGCAAGAAAAATAGCTCTTTCCTTTTATTCGTAAACTTTAATGTTATAAAAAGAAAATAGTTACTTGAAACGTTTTTTTGTACTGGGAATCAACCCCAGATTACGCCATTGTGAAGATTAAAGTACTATGGAGAAACAATGAGAGCCATTAAAAATTTCATACGAGTTTTTGTGTAATTTCACACAATAAAGAAAACTCAAAAAAGGAAGTAGTCTCCTTCAATGCTCGTTCCACTTTACGATTGACATTACATGAATAAAGGTATCTTTTCCGAATTTCTAATGTCGTTGTTATATGCATAGATAAGAGCTGACTTATAGCTCGGCCGATACTTATCGTTTCACATGAAGATATGATAAAATTCACATCTATTATCGCGAATAACAATTACCACTTATCATTATTTAGTTAGACTCTATAAATACCATTCATTTCAAGTTTGCAGTTTTCTCATATTAGTTCCTTAAAAAATCATAAAATCAACACTCTAAATATCCAATTAAAACATTATTGACATTATCGCGTCAATTACACTAAACTTACGATGAAATTTAAATTCATCATCAGCAATTTTAGCATTGAACATTCAAATGCTACTTTTAACATTACCCGCAACGGTTCAAAAATCTCGTTGACAGAGACACTCACGTGCAAAATGGGTTATATATCAAAAAATCTAAACGTATAAATTTACGTTTATATTATCCGGAAATGCATAACTTGTTATGCGTTTCCCCCTCACTATTCGTTTGTTTTAGTTAAACGCTTAGTGATGAAGAAATGCTCTTATTAATTACCATACTGTTTGTTATTCAATTTAAATTATGAATTTTAAATTTTAAACTCAAAATTATATACTTTATATATATCATAAAATTGTGGAGATTTGTTAAACTCAAAATTATATATCTGTAAATAGAAATTTGCTGTACTTTTTTTTTTTTCGTTTTTATACAATAAAGTATTTCCTAGTAAGTCTAGTGATCTACTAATAGAGTTCTATTAAATGCAAAAATGCAAACAGATTTCCCCGTGCATGTAGATCATCTGACCTGCATAAACTGGTAAACGTTGGGCTGTTAACATGATTTTCCTTTAGTAGATGTCACTTCAAGATCAGAAATCATATCTTGCTAGTTGTTGACTTTCGAATTTTTATTTATTAACAGATTCTTCATACGTCAATTACAGAAAACCCTTGAATACATAAACCTCCAAGTAAATATTGATATGGAGGTTTTTGAGTTTATTAAATGTTATCAATAATTATACAATGCTCGTAAATATTTCGAGCTTTACAGTAAATTAAATTCAATTCCATAATTCATTAACTTTTGCATCAAGGAAGTCTTTCCAAATGCAAGTCCTGGTGTTATAACACCACTTGGTATTTCTTGTCTCTCCTTTAACAAAGTTTGTGCACTGGCAACAGCAATAATCGATGTGGCTAAATAAGCGGGTTCGGGTCCAACCACGGTGGTGATTAATTCCACATCTGGTTGTAAATTACTCAAAGTTTCGGAATTTTGATTACTTATGTCGTCGGTATAGCTTTCGATCTCAGACGCTAGTCGAAATTTTGAAATTCCTCTCGCATAAAACCTGTGGGAAAAACTCCCCCGTTGGACTTGTTCAAGTGAAGGTCCCTCGTGTGTAAAAAAGCCTAATTGAAATTGAAATTTGTATGTATATTGAATATAAAAATCCATGGTTTTTGTGAGAGCGTCAATAAACAAATTCAATTACCAAAACTAAAGAATTTGGGATGTTTCAACAGTAAATTCTTTCCCCATTCATATCTTATCAGAAGTCTGAAAACCGCTCCTCCAAGAAAAATCATTATTAAATACTTTAATTTTGGAATCACGAAGTAACTAGCGACTTGGGCAGGTGGAACTCCTGAATTGTATTCGATGTCAAGTTGTTGGCCTAACTTCAAAACTGAAAGGTCCGCAGTAAGTGAAGGCACTACGTATCCTTGAAATCGACTATCCCACTTGGAGGGTGGTGGCACTTTTAACGCTGGTCCAATTTTGGGAACAATCGGGCGATGAGCGTGCTTGCGCAATTCCCTGAGCGCGCCAACATTAGATACACTATGTACTGTGTTTGGATTAAAGAAATTGCCATTATGAATTATTTTGTCCGAACAGATAATACAATAAAAAAAGTCACTTGGCTATCCCACCTAGAGACGAATAGGTTGTATAATGAATAACGAGACCATTGCTTCCACCACTAATCCTGGAAAACATTTCTATTTGTGAAGGTATTGCGCCTCTGGCTTCTAGTTGGCGTTTGGTGAACAGGAATCCTAACTCTGCGGGCACCTATATTTTGATGGATTAAGGTAAAATCGACTTGCTGTGAATAACACATTGGATTCTGAAATCGAACACATTGAGATATACAATATAGGTCCATCACACACTGAATCGTAACCGCAGGCAGGTACTATGGCCACATTCTTTCGCTTCGCCTTTTCACCATATGCTAATTGAATGCGTTCAATGAACTCGGTTTCACCTATATAGATTATTAGTTAACAAAGGTAATGTTGAGGGAAATCTCGAAATTTTATCAAAACTTAAATTTTACCGGAAACATCTACATAATTTGCGTCGTTTTCAATACAGGCTTTTACAACAGCCTCGCCATAAAATCGAAATGGACCAACGCAATTGATTATCACCTTAGCCCTTCTTGCCAATGCTTGCAAGGTATCCGGTTTATGAACATCGGCTATTATAACTTCTGGTCGAGGAACATTATTGTCTCCAGAGAGGGTTACGATATTGAAAATTTCTTGAAGCTTTGATTCCGAACGTCCAGAAATTGCCCATTCGAGCCCAGGAAGTTCATTAGATATACGACAAATCCGTTCAACCACGAATTTACCGGTGAATCCTTTCGTCAAAATAAACAGTTTTTACATGTCCCTTTGTTAATTAATGACAATTATAAAAAATATTTACCTGTGGCACCAAAAACGGCGATGTCTAGGTCTTTCTTTGTTTGGGTCATTAGCAATTTCAGGTCGCAAGAAACTAATGGTGAAAAAAATTACGTGAAAGTGAAGTTGTTTCTCATTAGAGTTGGGGTGCAATACAAATTTATATTTTAAATGGCTCAGGACCCTTTTACGTACTCCGACTTCAATATTACGTCATTTACTTATGATTTTAGTTGCAAATCATCATGTGTCTTCAACCCCGATGACTTTACGGTTTCTTATGGCTATAATTAGAATTTTTATGTTTTCAAATTCTATTAAAAAAACATAACATTCCTATTTTTATTTTTGTTTATATTAAAATGATAATTGTAAAAAAATTTTAATATATAAAATTTAAAATTTAAAAAAAGGGTTTATTATTCAATTCATATAATTATCTTTATAATAATTCGAAATTTAATTGTTTTTTCTATTTTTTTTTAAAAAAAATTAATAAATATCTAAATTATGAGAAAATCATATTTTCTTTAACGAATTTGGTAATAAAAATAATAACGATTATTAAAAAAAGGTATTAAAATTTCAATAAAAACGAAATACAGTAAGAAATAAAATAAAATTTCGATAATAACAAAAATAAAAATAAAAAAAGTAAATCAAGATTTTAAATTATATAAAATAAGAAATTATTTAAAAAAGATAATTCTTGTTGAAAATTACAAATAAAATACAAATATAAATAATAAAATTTATTTATTTTATAATAATTATACTTTATATTTAAATTAGAACATATATAAAAAATAATTTTTATTTTTATTTATTTATTAATCACTTATATAGTTTATAATTATTATAATTTAATTAAAAACAAGCTCAATTGATTATACTTTACATATATATTTATATTATAAATTTATTATATTAAATTTATTATAAATTAAAATTATTTTAAAATTATTTTAGTATTGAAATTTTTAACTTCAATATTTTTTAAAAGCTTTTATTTTAGTTTATATTTTATTACAAAAAAAAATAATTTTAAAAACTTTAAATTTCAAATAGAAATTTCTTTATTTTTATAAATTTTCTTTAAGCTTTTTTTAATTTGAGCAAAAATTATAAAAATTCTTTAAAGCTTAATGAAATTTGATTTGAATTTGAATTTGAATTATTTATAAAGTTTGATAGTTTAACTTTTTTATTTTTATATTATAAAATTTGGTTTAACTTATTTTTTTTAATTATAATTAAATAATTTTCTATTATCAAAATATAAAAATTTTATACTTGACTGATATTTATATAATTTTTATATTATTATATTTGTATTTCTATTATTTAATATATTTATAAATATTATTATATAACAAAAAACTTTTTTACTTATAAACAAATTCATAAAAATTCTATTATAATATTAATCTCATTTTTAATATAAAAATATTTAAAATTAAATTTAAAAATTAAAAAAAAATTAAAATTAATTTCTTCTAAATTCATATAATAACAAATATCATTAATATATAATCAATATTCAAATAACAAAATAAATTAATAATTTTTATTTATTTTTATATTCTATATTTTTTTCACTATTAATATAATATTATTTGTTTTTTTTTTTTTTTTTTTTCCGTAGTCAAACAAATGCGTACTTTTTATTTAATCTTTACAGAAAACAAAAAATGTATAATACATTGTATTGCCTAAACTATTCTACTGCCTTGAACACCCGTCTTAGACAAATGTCTCTAGGTGTAAC